ATAAATTAAAGAACCTAGTATGCTCCAAAGTGATTATGATTCCACCCATGCTTTAAATAGAATGCGATTATTGTGTTTTAAGGTAAACTTGGGGATATTATTTTATGAACTATAATAACTATTACAATAATAAACACCATACAATTATGTGGCCACATATAGTGAAGGTTATACTTCTTAATTATTAACACATATGGTACGTACCAAAAAAATTAATAACAATGCTTTTAAAATTAACACATTTATTTAAATTTAATGTTGAAATAATCTTTTTCAATACTCAGTCGAGATTATTGTCGAACCAGGCTGGAAGCTGTTTAATTATCTATGTAACTTTTTTATAAAAAGTATTTCTATGTTATTTAAAGAAGGGAAAAGGTAGAAGTTCCTCCCTAGACTATGACTCAAATCCCAGAGACATACATTAACTAAACTAGGTCCTATTACCCCCCCTGAACTCATATTTTTTTTGTAATTTTGTACACCTTTTGGCTTATGTAGCACACCCCGTGACTCCACGCAGTTGAAAAGGTGTACAAAATTACAAAAAAAAAAAGAGTCAAGGGGGTAATAGGACCTTAGTTTAGTTAAGGTATGTCTCTGGAATTTCAGTCATAGTCTAGAGGGTACTTATGTCCTCTTCCTTAAAAGAAAAAAAAAACTACTCCATAATGACATAGGAGGATCCAAATAAGAGGGTTGTTGAGATCATAACAAGTACCTTAATTTTGTGCCTAGATCGATAACATACTTTGTTTATGGGTTTTCAACTAATATTTACTAGTTTTTCCAATACAAATACAAGATTCAGTCAAAAGTTAATGTGTTTTCAAAAAAACTCTCACATAACTTATGAACCATCTATGGTATGATAATGTTATGGACATATTTAACTCCCGAATCCATCTTCGTTAGCAGGATATACAATAGTAATTCATGTAAGAATACGTTGTGTTATCAGTGATGAAATAAGAAGGTGTTTTATAATTTTTAGTAGCATTTGGTGAAATCTTTTTATTTTTTATTATTAAATAATTTTGTAAAAAATAAAAAAATTAAGTATTTAAGTGATGGATGAAATGATTACAAGAAGAATGTTTTGCGTCGCTCTCAGGCTCTGACTCTTAGGTCTCTAAAGAGGGCCCAAGTATATCTGCACGCGCGCCAGCCGCGTGGACCCATCGTTGACCTGTAAATTAGACAAAACCAAAAAGTCAAAATGCGTAAAATAGCATTTAATCGTGATTTGACGCCGCCGATTTTTGACTGATAGAACCGGTAACCGGTCTTCCTCCACCACCTGCCGCCTCACTCCGCCACTCTATTCTCCCCACGAAACTTAATTTCTACCCTAACCATTAAAAAGAAAAAAGATTTATATTTTATTCTGAATTATTGGAATAGTAATATTTTATTTTACTTGGATGTCTCTTGAAATAATTACTCCGTTTAAAAAAGAAGTAGGAATAAGGTTATACACATAACTATCTCTAAATTTTATTTGTGAAATTACACGGGACATATTATTGTTGTTGATTGAAGTAGTATTTTAGTTCTTTTTTTGTTTTCCACCTGATGTCCGATCTATATTAAAGTTTGACTATTTTGAATTCACGCAGTGTAGAATACCATTCGAAGAAAAACACTTTCTAGCAAAAACTTTTTCATACCCAGAACTCGAACCCAAAAACAATCTCATCCACTATATTAACCACACTAATATATTCTTCTATGTTTCCCATTGTATGATTATGCCTTTTAGGTACATTTGCCACATGTGTATAAGAGATACTAAGTTTGAGATAGATAACATATTGGATATACTGAATTTAATTTGGCCTAATTATATAGTCGTACACTACATTATCACTTATGTGACAATCATCTGTTTTTGTTTTCTCTGAAAGAGATAATCATATTATGTTATTATAAGACTTCTTGTTTTAGGTTTGAAGCCAAAACTAAGTTATATATATAGTCAATATTTGAAATAAGAAACTTTGATCACAATAGCTTTTGTTCATTAAAAAATTATGAATATTTATCTTAATATTGAATCTAATTATCATTATATATTAACTTGAGATCGATATAAGATTAGAACGTAGAAATTTTAAATTTTAGATCCATCTCGAAAACGGGGTGTTCTTCTTAAGGCTCCTAATGTACTAATACTTTCGAAGATAAATTTGGGACATGGCTACTCATAGAACAACAAAATGTAGTGAGTTGATGTGTCAGCATCGTGTTATTATTTAATTTGAACCAAATAAAAGGATATGATTATATACCTAGCTAGTAGTCCATATATGATAAATCTTCTTGGACACTCCTCCATTTACATTTACGTTTAAAGGATTCTCCTTTGTTGAGAACACAATATTATGATATTCAATTATTCATGATGATGGCAATTGGAAAGATATATACAAATGAATCTCTAACATGTTTAGTTTTGATGAGGTTTATGAATGTCATTATAATTATATTGATGATGAGCAATCACTCATTAATACGCACATATTGGAGAAATATACAAAACTCTAAGGATGTGTTCGATATAAAAAAATAAGTTGATTTTTTACTTATTCTCTTGTATTTGGTATATAATTAAAAGATATTATTCAAATAATATTTGTATATAATTTAGATAAATACAGTATGGAGGGGAAAGGGTGAAGATGGGTGTGGGGTGTTGAATGTACTTATGGTGCTTGTTTTCCAAGATAATATATTTTTAAAAATCTTTAATCAGTCGAACATGAGAAAATTGAAAATATTTCATAATGAATACACCCTAAGTTGTAACTATCAAATTAAATGTTTGGATGAAATATAATGTATAAGATCTCTCGTTTCTTAATCAGAAGATTTGAATTTGAACCCTGTGAATAAAAATAAAAAAAACTTGTAGAGGGCTCTACCTTGCACAACACGAATTCATATTAATCCAGATCCAAACATATGATCCAAAGTAAATATCAAATATCAGATGAAAAGAAAAAATACAAAACAAAAAGTAGGTGATGCCTAAGATTCACTCATTCACCTACCAAGCTTTCAAAAGCTAAATAGAGTACCTTCCGCCATTGATAATTAAGAGCCTAAATGTCCTTTATAATTCCCTTACTTTATGTAAGCTTGTTTTCATTTTAATATATATGTTTCAAAAATAAAAAATTTATTCTAAATTTAAAATGATTTAACTTTAATACCCTTAGATTGCTACCGTAGCTCAAATTCAAGTTGCTTGAGAAATGACATGATGGACGGTCTTAGGAGGTTATATTTGATGCTAAATTCATTGCAACTACCTTTAAGATTCAGAGAACATAATTTAGATGATGGCTTTTGTGAACTAAAATTTGTGGCAAAAGATATTTGAAGACATTGACTTCCACTCCTAACCCAAAAAATGAAAAATAAATAAAATAGAATAAAAAATCTAGTCCTTTTCTAGAACAATTGTAACTTTATTAATTTATCCCCCTTTTGTTTTGCTTAAAAAATAATTTTGTCCACATCCACGTTCAAAAAAAAATTATGGTGTGACTTAATAAGAGAATATAATGAGCGTTTTCATGAGCCTTATGTAACGACAACACAACATATCAAGTATAATCTTACGATTTACGATAAGAATTTGAAGAAAATAATACATTATATACGCTATCTTATAAAGATAAATAAGAAGAAACAATGTTATTTTTAATTGATCCTCTATTCAAATTGTTAGTTCGTGAATTGTGTAATTAATATTTTTTATAAATTATACACATCGGCCAAAGATTATAGTGGTGTGTGACGTGTACGCTTTTGTCTATTACTATCAATGGTATATTGACTCGACAGAGTATGAGAAAGCTTATTTGGCATTGTTAGCTTTTTTGAAGCAAATATACAACTCTCAAAATTGAAAATAATTTAAAGTCAAAAGTTAAAGTGGGAGTAATAAAAACATTAGTGCTGCTGACTATAAAAGATAATATTAAAAAATTAAAACCATAAACAATTTATTCTTCAAAGTTACGAGTGATAAAATTAGCTCATAAAAATACGATTCGTCCAATTCGCCCATATTTGAGTTGGTAAATGAACTCATCCCATTTCACCCAAAACCAATTTCAGCTCATAAAATTTGAGCTAATATGTAGCTCAAATTAATCCATAGGAAATCTTATTAAAATATCTTTTTATTATTTTGATATTTCATATAGTGTCATAGTAATACGGAAAAACAAAAGTTTTATTAGGTACTAATTTTGAAAATATGCAAGAAATTAAAATTTTATACTCCCTTTGTTCATATTTATATGTCACCATTTTGGATTTCAAGTGCACTAAGAAACTAAGCAAGTTTACTATTCTATCCTTATTTAACTTTTTGAACCTCAAGTTTTCAATCAATGAATACGAATTAATTTTTTTAATTAATTTAACCAATGAACATGAATCATTTACTTAACTTTTCTAAGTTGGTCAAATAAATATTTTCAAGACTAATAACTTACAAGGGTAAAAAAGGAACAATATGGTAATTTATGCATTGATTTTATAAAATGAAAAATATTATTGACCAACTATTTATAGAAAAGAATGACATATAAAAAGGAATTGAGATGGTAAAAATTAAGTAGGTTGAATCGTGACTCACTTTTTAGTCAATTTCAACACAGCTCATTTCAAGCCAAGTAATTTTAGGACAGATAAATAATCTGTTAATTTATTAACTCATCCTATTTTAACATGACAAAATTAAGCCAAATTCACCTATTTAACACCCTTACCTAAAACCAAACAAATTAAATAAATTCCGTTTGGCTAAGCATGAAATTAAATTTTGATTTCTAAAAAGGTGTGTAACCCTTTCATTTGTCTAATCAGTCACAAAAAAGTCAACCAATATATTGTGGTCATTTTTTAATTTCATTAAACTAGGGGTACTATAAATAGTCATATGCAGCGAAACGAAGTCATTTCATTTTTCTGTTTAATTTTCTTTTCCAATTAAAAAAAAAAACACACACACACACACGAACCAAAAACAAAGCAATTTCCAGAATAAGAATCTATCTCTACTTGAAATATATTTGGTCAAGTTGGAACATATTAAAAAAAAATATCTCTTCTTTGTGTTTCTTCCTTTTATTTTTTTCGATAGAAAATCGCGATGGCAGAAGAATTTCAGCTAGGTAGAGGAAATTGGTGGGAATCATCAACTTCAGCTTCATCAACAACAACATCATCGTCTAGAAATAAGTTTATCGATAGCGGAATTTCATCATGTACAATGCCTTCAGCATCGAGTACAACCGGTCTAAGCAGCATGGCGAGTAACTTTGTTAATTGGCCGACAGAAATTCATGAGGATATTAAAGTTAGATCCGAAAATAGTTCTATGGTTTTTTCGGGAACTGATTCCCATAAACGTTACACCTCCGAATCCTCTGTTGGCGGTGGAGGAGGAGGAGGTGGAGGCATGGGGCAAGGCGTTTTATCTGTTGATGATCCTAATTTACAAATGATGGGGTTAGGTTTATCTTCTCAAGGACTTGATTGGAATCAACCTTTCTTGTAAGTAGTATAATTATTTTCGTAAAGTTAATTATTTTCGTAAAGTTAATGTTTTTTACTGGTTGGTTTCATTATCATAAAATCGAAGCCAAGATTAGCTTTGATTTTAAGATGTAGAACTTATATCGAATCATCATATGATATAGCTATTAGAATTGGGTATATGATTTAAATTTGATAAATTCGGTCTAAAAAATTAGTGATACTCGATCGAACTCATATTCTACATAAATTTTTGTGTTCCGACCATAGGAGGCGATGAACCCCTTTGTTGAAAAATTGAACTGTATAGCTATATATATATGTTTAATTATTTTCTTTGAAGTATATATATAGTATATGTTGAATCCTCTTGATTACTGATACTATTTTTATTTTTTTCTACAGTCGGAGTGAAAAATCGGGGAGTGGTTTTCGTTCGTTAATTCAAGAAGGGTTGAGTTCAAATGCAAATTATCAACAAGAAGGAATATGTCATGAACAAGATCATAATAATTGGAGTACGCAAAAAATATATCATGGGAATTCTGATGATTCTTCAGTAAATGATTATAATAAACAATTATTTAGTGGTCATAATAATAATCTTGAAAATTCAGCAGTACCTTATGGAAGTCCATCAAATATGTTACAAGGGTTATTAATTTCTGACCTTAATAGTCAACAACAAGAATCAAATAATTTTTCAAGTGTTAGTAGATCTTTATATTATAATCCTTCATATAATAACCAACCAAATTGTGATGTCAATATTCCTACTTCATCTTCATCTTCTTCTTGGTCTAAATTTCCTCAATTTCTCCGAACATCGGATCCTTCAAAAGTAGTACAACAATGGTCACTGTCACAGTCGCCACCACTATCTCATAGCCAGTTGTCACATTTCTCTGGTGGCACGCCTTTTTGGAATGCCACATCAGCAGCCGCGGAGGACGTCCGATCGGGTTTCGTCCCTCAGCTCCCCACTAACCCAACGGTTGATGAGAAACCAAAGGTAATTGAATTAATTTTAACTTTCTTTTCGTATTATTTTATGTGATTGTGTTTAATTAAATTCGATACCTAAGAAAAGAATAATGATTCTTGTCATGTCCTAATATTTCGTAGAGATAAAACATGCAAAAAAAAAAGTAAAATAATTTTTTTTTAAAATTAAGAGTTCTCTTAAATCTAGAATTGTTCATTCTTTTTGTATTAGACTAAAAAAGTAAAAAATGTCATACAAAATGAAATAGAAGAATGCACTACCTGAATTTCAATTTACGTGATACTGTTTCACTAAGCAAGGATTTTAATTTGAAAGAAATGAGATTTTTAAAAACTAGTGGTAGAAAACTAAACAAGCCTTAATTAGACACTGGAAAGTAATCTAATTGTGTAAAAATAGAAACTCTAAGGTTATAAAATGGTTCCAAATATAAAAAGGTATAGTAACATTTTCTTAGGAACAGACTATAAAAGAAAGTGTATCATATAAATAACCATCGAAAAAACAATAATTAAAACTCAATTATTAATTTTTTTGCTTATGTGTGGATTTTGATTTTCTCAATATTGGTGCATTTTATGCAACAGCATACAGGTGAAGTTAGGAATATAAGCACAATAACAAAGAAAAGTAGCAGTGAAACATCAAATAAGAGACCAAGGAATGAAGCACCATCTCCATTGCCAGCTTTTAAGGTATTTGAATTAAGTTAATTAATTAATTAATTAAGGACCGAATGGGACATTTTGTTTATTTGTTTATTCGATCAGAATTATAATTATGAGAATATGTTTCTTTGTTCTTGATATTTTTATTTATTTTTAGGTGAGGAAAGAGAAAATGGGAGACAGAATCACTGCACTTCAACAATTAGTCTCACCTTTTGGAAAGGTATATATATAATTACAAAATTGCGCCTCAATATTTTTTTCATTTTCACTTTAATAGAAAGGGTTATATGAGCTCTTTTGGATTTAAATGGAAAGTAATTGATAAATTTTAGTGTTAAAATTGATTTTATGAATAAGCATTTATATATGTATAGATAGAAGTGTGAAAAAATATTTTGAAAATAGAGAGAAAATATTATTGATATAATCGAAAAATACCTATTCAAACTAAAAGTGTTTATATAAGTTTAAAAGCAATAAGTTAGGGATTATTTTAGACTTTTGTTTAATGTTGAATTATATCACTCTAAATGTTTTATTTTTTTAAAAATAAAAACTTAAGCTAGTCTGATCAACTTATAAACTTATTGGCCTAAACATTATTTATAAGACTATATCATCAAAGCTCATCATCCTAATCTCAATTGCCTTAATCCTATCCTATCATCTGTATAATGAAATTTATCATTGACGGATTTTTTAGGATTTTTCTTTCTCCTCTATATATATCGAGAGATTTGTGATTAATTTTCTGAAAATACAAAAAGGACATTTTATTCATTGATTAGATTTCTATTTTTTTTTTAATTTCCACAGACTGATACAGCTTCTGTGCTATCGGAAGCAATCGAGTATATAAAGTTCCTCCATGACCAAGTTAATGTAAGTTAGTTTGTTAATTAATTATTTAATTAGAGCCCTTAATTATTTGTTTTATAAATTTTGTATCGCCAATTAATTAAATAATCCATAAGGAAAAATTCAATAAAATTGGAGAGTAAAAGAAAATATTGCATGTTATATATAATGAATTAACGACTTCTTAGGCATTAATTAATTCTTTTTTATTTTTTTTGTGTCACATAACAGGTATTAAGCACCCCATACATGAAAAGTGGAGCTTCCATACAACATCAACAGGTAAAATTACTATTTAATTTTTCAGTCTAGCTTAATACCAACATTATTAATGTTGTATATTTTATTTAACACATAAAATTATCATGTATATACGTAATACTTCATAAAAAGTGAATTCAAAATCTTGAAAATAAGACGTGTTACCTGTTATACTTAGTAAGAGCATGTGCATTATATTTTATTTGTGCAATGTCGATGTATAAATACTGACCGTGTAAAAATAAAATCCATTAGCCATTTACTTTTACTTGTTATAACATGTCTTATTTTCCAGGTTACTGATGATGTCCTCATATATAATGAAATCTATAGTTATTTTTTTACATAATCTGATAGTGTAAAAATTATTCGATATATTGTGCAGAGTACTGGTGATAAATCCAATGTAAATCCAGAAGGAGGAAAACAAGATCTTAGAAGTCGAGGATTATGCTTGGTCCCAGTGTCTAGTACCTTTCCAGTAACTCATGAAACAGCAGTTGATTTTTGGACTCCCACCTTTGGAGGAACATTCAGATAATCAATGACAAAGCATATTATAGTTGTACGAGTTTAAGTTATATACATCGTCAGTATAAAGAATTTTTTATACTATCAGGTCATTTTTATTTATTATAGCAGATAATTTGTCTTGTTTTTTTCAAGATTACAAATGTAAGGACGTACGCTTACCATGTAGGTATGTTTTGAATCATGACCTGATAGTGTAAATGATTCGTTATGTATACTGACGATGTATAAAACTTAAATTTTTTTGTTATCAAACCCTAGAAAAGTGGGGGATGAAATGAATAAAGAGGGCAAAAAAGAAATTATTTAGTATTATTCCAGGTCCATAGCAGGCTGATGATGATGGAAAAAAGAAAAAGAAAGAAAAAAGAATGATAAAAGAGAGGGAAAAAGAAAGGACCAGCTCAGGCAAAATGATGCAACTTTGGCCAATATTTTTGGACCACTATGTCTATATGTGAGTATGCAGGAGTATACTGTGGTGCAGTGGTGGGACTGCTTCGTCTTTAATCAGAGATCTCGGATTCGAGCCTTGATATGGAGAAACTCTTGTTGGGAACGCCATCCCCGAATTGGCCCTGCAGTGCACGATTCGAATTTAGTTAAACTCTAATACGGATTTTGAACACTAGATGGGAAACAAAAAAACGTTAGAGGTATGAAAAAAGATTATTATTATTATTATTGGCCTAATAATGCTAGTTATTTGTTTACAAAAAGGAATTTTGTTTGTAGCAAATTTTAGTTGAAATGAGGGATAAAAGGAGCTTTTAAAACTAGCTGTTTGTATCTATTATTTGTGTATATAGCTGGCACTAGTTTACTTTAATTTAAAACAAAAGAAATGAGAGGAATAATTGAAGTTCCAATGTGAAAGATATATAGATTATTTGATTGGAAATATAACTTTTCATTTGTTTATATGTGTCTGGAATAAGTTAGTGGAACTTTTTAGTGAGTTTCCACTTTTTTTGTTTCCTATTTTACTATATTGATGAATTAGTAATGGAGGGATGTAGGTGAAGGAGCCACACACACACATATATATATATGCTTCTGTTTTTATAATCATGTGTGAGATTACACTGAGTATATTATGATTTTTTTCAAACGATTATGATAACTGCTTCAACTTGAGGGAAAAGAGAAGTTAGAATGATGAAATCGTTCCGCCTTTAATTATCAAAAGTTTCGAAATTGATTTTTGACATGAAGAAAATCTTTATCAAGAGTATTTCACCTTAAATAATGAGTCATACATATGCACGACATGTATCTAAAGTAGGCGAGCTTTTGAATTTTGAAAACCATAAAATTTAACAAAAAGAAAAGAAGAATTCAATTCCTCATTCCCCTTCTCCTTTAACTCTTATTTAAAGAATGAAAATAGAAAAATAGAAAAAAGAGTAGGGAGAAAGTCATAAAAATCAATCTAGAACTAGAGGAAGAAAATGCAAGATCTAACTTTTTTTTATTAAACTGCGTGTCTAGCTATATAATGGCGAAAGAGGGAGAACTAGATGTATGTATATTTGATCGCGAAAAACAATATCTATATAGAATTTAGAAAGACTAAAACAAAAAATGAAAGAATATATAGGAAAATAACACATGTTAAATAGGTTTTTACTTGGTGATTATCATAGTTACTTAGACTTGATAATGTACTATAATTTTAGCCTAGCTAACACTAGCATATTCACAACCTTGGTGATATATAGATTATAGGCTGCTTTTAGCATAGTCATGATGTACTTTGGAATTATCTATATGAAAAATTGTTTAGGCAAACATTATTAGCTTTACTTAGAAGCTTAATAAACACAAAAAGATAGCATCTATGCAATCATCATAATCATTGTGCTTTTGTGAAGTGCCAATTTTCATATTCTTATGTATTATCCAAATTCTCTGTTTTACTTTTATTTTCCAGTCTAAAAAAATATTTTGTATTTCTTCCCTTCTTTTTAATCTTAGATAAATATTATTGTATCTTGTCATGTAGATGCTTGTTCTCTTGTTCCTCTCCAAAAAGCATTGCTCTAAAGGTACATGGCATAAATTCCATCCAATTACGTACCACCAGTCCAAATAGAATAAAAGAACATAATCAAATTAATATATCAAAAACTATGCTAAATTTTGTCATGTTATGTAATTGATAAAAAAAAGAAAAAGTCATACTATATATGTTCTTTTTATTTCTCTTGTAACTTATGAATTTTTCAGTTTTACATCACATCTAAAGAATCCTTTAAAGCAAAACCGAAAATCTTATGAGAAAATGCTACACAACAACAACAACAATATATAAACACAGTGAAATCCCACAAAGAGGAGTCTGAGAAAAACATGTGTTATATGTACACAAACTATTACTCATACCATGGAGATAGAAAAATTGTTTATGATATACCTTAGACTCAAGGATGGGAAAATGATAAAGAACGGTCTAAAATTTTGTAGACGTTAGACGTCAGTCTAATATTTTGTCAATCCCCAACATTATATTTTAAAATAGGGATGTTCGACCTCAGTTTGTACTTGGAAGAAAAACAGTACAAAATTCTTCTTTAATTTAATTTCCTACCAAATTAAGAGCATAAATTCTTGTTGAAGTTTAATATTTTGTTAAAGAATAAAAGAGTGCTCCACTGCATTATTTGAGTAAAGTCAAAATGTAATTATATATATCTATGCAGAAAGTATAGTAAATTAATAGCGATATACGGTGTTTCTATCGTGTAAGCAAAGACATAAGCAAAGGATCATTACTTTAATGAGGCTTAATTAAGCACCTAATTAAGCTAGTAAGATGCCACTAACCTGATTTTTTAGCATAATATTAAAATATCAACCTACATATGCGCAACCTAGTTATCAACAATTTGACCCAATGGGTCTTTAATTAAAAAAAGAAACTTAATTATCAACTATAATTATTATTAATATTCTCAATTTATAATTTTAACCAATTGAATATTCGTTTATTTTGGTTTCCCACCTCATATTCAGTATGCTCATTAGAGCCCGATTACATTCATGTATTGCGGGACTCAATATGTAGACGATACTTTCAACACGGTTTTTTTCATTCTCAAGGGTGCAAACCCAAAATCGCCCATTATAAATGACGGAATTCCAACCATCCTATCACAATCGATGTTAGTTAAGAGAATATTAGTCATTCAAGATGATTAGTGTGCAAGTTGGACCGTTAGCTTTTTAAATATTGAAAATAGACTAATGAAAACACAAAGGAATAAAGAGTACCTCAATGGTTAAAGATTTGTGGCCTCTTAATAAAGCACATAATCTTAGATAGAAAATTGAAAAGTTTAGTGCAAACATTTAGGGTGCATTCGCATGAGGAAACTATATTTTTTTCATGATATATAAGTGATTTTAATTTCTTATTTTTTTTCTTGTATATGATATGTAAGTAACAAATAATATTCCAAAAGCATTTTTTTATAATCTAGGCAAACACAATGGACGTTGAGGTAGGGATAGTGTCAGGTGTGGAGGGAGCCGCCTAGGGGTGGGGGTGAGTGGGTAGTGGACTAAAGAGTACTGTTGAAGGATGGAGATGAGACAATCAGTATTCGATCACTTATGAATTTGTTTTTCCTATTCTTATTAGAGAAATTTTTCTCTTTCATTTTTAAGGAGATCTTTTTTTTCTAGAAAAAATATTCTAAAAAAATTGATCAACTAAATAGGGAAAATCGAAAATTGTTATCCTTCCTATCAAACACACCCTTAATGAAAATTAATTAAATTTGGACTGGACTGAGTGCGAGAGGTATGGGCCTAGGATGCTGATTCATAAAGCCCATGTGGAAGATCAAATAATTCTATTTAGTGAAAAGTCCAAATTAGCAAAAGTCATAGTTTTCCAAATTGTTGATGGCACTTGGGCCGACCAAGGTCCATTAGCTAATCAAGACATGGAATGACTATAGAGTGTAGTCACACATAGCTCAGGGTGGTCAGTCGAACACCCCTGGTAAAAAAATTATAATATATATAGAGAAAATTGTACAAAATATATAGATTTAAAATTATTGTTCATATAGATATATTAACTATCGGGCACCCTTAACGAAATTTTTGATTTCGCTACATTGTTGATGTATACCACGGGGCAGTACAGAAAGCACTGTTTCAAATTTCAAATATGTGAATCTAGACTTAATCGGTCAAAGCATAACTTCAAATCTTGAATTTAGACTTCAGACATAAGAGTTTGAAGTTACACTTTGATAGAACCCAACTTCAAACTCATATGTCATAATTTGAACTTCGACTTTGAAATATAAAGTTAGGTTCTAAGTAAGATCAACTTCAGTATGAAGTTTGTCAAACACTACAAGAAATTCTATTTTTAGAGACCAACTCTTTACGAAGGGATATGAATCCGGTCGTTAAAAGTATATTTATTGCGACACAATTTCTTCCGGTTGTTAAAATAAGTTTTCTATTTAATACTAACGGAATAAATTTCAGATGTTAAAAAAAGTAGATATCCGGTTGTTAATGATAATAGAAAATTAAATGCTCTAATAATTTTTTTCAATAGTAAATAATTTTCGTCCATTTTTTTCAACCACACACGTCTCTCCACGCACCCCACCTCTCCCCTTGATGAAGAAAAGGCCCATCGATGTACTCTCTTTTTCTGGTTTCACTTTAATGTTTGAGACCACACGGATTGCAGTTTGAGAGATATTATCAGCAACCTTAGAGGAAATTTTACATCTCAAGCTTTTCTTATTTCTGTTGGAGTAAAATCAGCAAAGCAAAGATTCAAAATTGTGGGTCTCTCAGGTTCGTTACGTTAGAGAAGAATCAGTAGATAGAGATACACATGTATCTGTTATTCAATTTATAAAAAGGTAGGTAATCTGGGAGAACTAGATGTATGTATATTTGATCGCAAAAAACAATATCTATATAGAATTTAGAAAGACTAAAACAAAAAATGAAAGAATATATAGGAAAATAACACATATGTTAAATAGGTTTTACTTGGTGATTATCATAGTTACTTAGACTTGATAATGTATTATAATTTTAGCCTAGCTAACACTAGCATATTCACAACCTTGGTGATATATAGATTATAGACTGCTTTTAGCATTGTCATGATGTACTTTGGAATTATCTATATGAAAAAATGTTTAGGCAAACATTATTAGCTTTACTTAGAAGCTTAATAAACACAAAAAGATAGCATCTAATGCAGTCATCATAATCATTGTGCTTTTGTGAAGTGACAATTTTCATATTCTTATGTATTAATCCAAATTATCTGTTTTACTTTTATTTTCCAGTGTAACAAATTATTTTCTTTTTTCTTTTTAATCTTAGATAAATATTATTGTATCTTGTCATGTAGATGCTTGTTCTCTTGTTCCTCTCCAAAAAGCATGGCTCTAAAGGTACATGGCATAAATTCCATCCAATTACGTACCACAAGTCCACAAACATAATCAAATTAATATATCAAAAACTATGCTAAATTTTGTCATGTTATGTAATTGATAAAAAAAAGTCCTACATGTATGTTTTTTTTTAATTTCTCTAGTAACTTATGGATTTTTTCAATTTTAGATCACATGTAAAGAATCCTTCAAAACCGAAAATCTTATGAGAAAACGCTAGACAATGACAACAATATATAAATACATAAAATCCCACACAGAGGAATCTGAAAAAAACAGGTGTTAGGTGTAAACAGATTTTTACTCATACCATGGAGATAGACACCCTAGACTCAAGGATGAGAAAATGATAAATTAAAGAACGGTCTAAAATTTTGTAGACGTTAGACGTCAGTCTAATATTTTGTAAATTCCCAACATTTTTATTTTAAA